AAGAACAGGCTCTACAGAGCAAGTTTGGGCGGAGTAAAGAAAAAAAAGAAAGAAAAAAATACACCCTACAAGGTAGGACGGGCTACCATTAAGGGGCATGATAGTCTTTAAGTGGGACTTTTAAAGGACAAAAATCTGCAACAATGGGCAGTAAAGATATTATAAAAGCTATTTATTAGAATCTTAGATTTAATTACTTACTAGAATTTTTTACAATTTTTACAGTGATGGAGATTTAACCCAGGGTCTTGCATACCCTAGGCAAGTACTCTACCACTGATCTACATCCCTCATTTTTTTTATTTTGAGACAAGGTCTTGCTACATTGCTCAGGCTGGCCTTGAACTTGTGATCCTCCTGCCTCAGCCTCAGCCTCCTAAATAGCTGGGATTACAGATCCCAGCACATCAGGCGCTACTTAAATTTTGAAAGAGCTCAATTATGTTCTTTAATTTAAAAAGTCACTACTGGGGGCTGGGGATTTAGTTCAGCGGCACAGCGCCTGCCTGACAAGTGCGAGGTTGTGAGTTCGATTCTCTGTACCGGAAAAAAATAAAAAATTTAAAAAAATTTAAAAAGTCACTACTGAATAAATATCACAGGAATTCAGAGATACATTTTTCATCATATTATGGAAAGTAGTAAAGCCGACTGCTGATAATGACGTCTCAGTACTCTGCAACGATGGATGAAATTAGACTATATTTCCTCCATACCCTTACCACAAAACCCCTGCCAATTCTAAACCTATGAAGTCAATTCCAAGTTTTAAGTTAAAATGCAACATAAAAGAAGTCTCTTGCTGGGAGACAGAAAGGAGAAGTGCCAAATTCCAAAACAATCCATTGGTGTGATTCCAAAACTAATAGTAAATTAGATTGTTTGATCATAACTTTGAGGGGGAAAGGAATGACGGAGGGGAAGAGAAAAAAAGTCCAGGAATGCCTGTATAATAGAGAAGACAAAAAATATTACCGAAAGTCCACTATCTCTGAATCCAACTGAAAAACAATCCAATCATTATAGTAAAATAAGAAAATAACATAGAGCGTGTGTGTACATTTAAATATATGTATTCTCTGAACTTGTATATGACATTTTAAAAGGAAAATAGTCGGGCGTGGTGGCGCACGCTTGTAATCCCAGAACTCAGGAGACTGAGGCAGGAGGATTGTTGAGAGTTTGTGGCCAGCCTGGGCTACAAAGTGAGCTTAAGGCCAGCCTGAACTGCACAGCGAGACCTTGTCTCAGAAAGATTAATCTATAAATAAATACATAAATACGTGGAAAATAATACATCATAGTAAATATATTACGTCAAGTGTACCAATAAAATCTGTGATATCAAAAATAAAAATATACAAAAAATACACCACTAAAGCAGTTTATATTCATCTATATTTACTTCTTTAGGAATATTAAAATCTATATAAATTAGTAGAAACTCAGGGTCTAAAAGAAAAATGAGTATATATTATATTTTCATGAAAACTTTCTAAGACTAGACGGGCATAATCCCAGCAACTTGAGAGGCTAAGCAGGAGGAATACAAGTTCAAGGCCAGCCTGGGCAATGCAAAGGAACCCTGTCTCCAAATTACAAGTGCTGGAATGTAGCTCGTGAGAGTCCCCGGATGCAATCCCTAGTACCACAAGGGGGTGGGTGGCAGCAGGGAAGACAAGACAGTTCAGTAAATCTGGATTCTGTAATGCAATCTATAAACCTGCTACGCTGTGTCAATCATCACTAAACAACTTGTTGTTTTTTTCAATGACTTCTTTTGAGGGCTGAATTTCCTATAAGAGTAATAAAGGCAAAAGGCTAGTGTGCAGTTAAAGGTCAAGGCAATGCCTTGCATGTTACTCCTTATAAACGTGGTTAGGAAGGCAGAAAGGGCAGAAAGGGCAGAAAGCACAGAGGCAAGAGGGCTGTCTCCACTATTTCACCAGACCCTCTTCCCCTTACAAACTGAATAAGCACAACTCTCTTTCCTCTAGCCTTGACTCTGGGTTGCACAGTCTCAGGACAGAAAATCTGAGAGTGCTATTTAAAAAGAACAAATGCACACTAAATAGTATGTCTTACAGACTCCCAATCTCAGCTGGCTGCTCAGTGCAGTTCAGTAATCTAACAAATCTTAGTTTCCTGTCCTGGCCCCTCCCCATCAGACTAAAACTTTTCAGCCCTTTACCATTGTTCTTCAGCTTTCTACCCAACTCTGTAGCTCTTCTACATTAGGAGATGAACCTGCTTCTCAGAGAAAATAGCTCCCAGCATTCAAATACTCCTTTAACTTTCTGGTCTCAGAGAAGAGGACTCCATTCTCCCTCTCCAGCACTCACCTAACAGCCACCCACTGCTGCCCTGAACCCCAGTCTCTTCTTCTCTGCCACCTGCTCCAGATGTCAGCCCTCTCTCATCTTCACATTCCCCTGCCCAGTGGCTTGTTTCCTGTATCTATAAGCACATTCAACATGCTTTCAACACCCAGCCAATCAGGAAAAGCTGCACTCTTATTCTGTCCTTTCACCAACCAAAATGGCAATCTATACAAACTGCTTCACTTAACTCCACTTCCACAAATTTCTCAATCCATTACAATTCATCTCTTCCATCTCCTCCCTCACACTGCTTTACTGAAACTCTTCTAATTTAGACACCAATAATTTCCTAATTGCCCAATAAAAACCTGCTTTCTCCTTAGTGGCTGATACTTGTAGGGATTCTCTGAATCTTTGACAGTGTTGAAAACACTCTCAAGGTTTTTCTTCCATTTCCTCTTCCCAAAACTCTGATTTTCATGGGATTGCTTCCTCTGCTTAAGATACCCGAAAAATCCATATTTGGCACTGTTAGTCTAACAAGCATTCTCCAGGGTCTACCATATTTCTACGCAGAATATTTTCTCTACTCTATTGTCACAAACTTCTCCTCTAGCCATACTTCTCTCAAAAACACCAAATTCACATTTTTAACTGCCTAGAAAAAAAAGAACCACCAGACTGTCCCAAGCAAGCATTCAAGCTTTTTTAATAAGTTCTAAATCTTTTTCCCCCACAAAACCTATTCTTCTTGGGTTATAACCAAGACCTAATCTCCCAGTGTAGAAGTCTGATGGTGATCCTTATATTACCTTTCTCCCTCAAATCACCATCCCTGTTTTATGTCACCAAATCCCACCCATTTTACTTCCTAAGCTCTTGAATCTACCCCACTCCCTTCCCTTTTACTATTAAGGTCTTGGGGTCTTCTTTATCTCATATATGAGCCATTTCAACTATCTCTATCAGTAATATCTCCCTCACTGCTATCAAGATTATCTTCCTAAATTCAAAATTGAAACAAGATATCACACTTTTCTATATCAGACTGGCAAAAACTAAAAAAGGACAATAACATCTGGTGTTGGCTAGAACATAAGGAAATGGACCATCCAGAGTCTCACAGTGAGGACAATCATATTACACAAAATACTGAGGCAATATAACCAAACTTGTAAATCTCTGTACTCTCTGATCGAGCAATTCTATTTCTAGAAATTTATTCTAAGAAGCTAAACAAAAAGTTTAGGACCCAAGTGCGTCCTGAAGTTTTCATCTTTCCCAGCAAAGGTCAGGGACAATCCCCCCTACCTTTACATACGATGCCACTTGCCTGGAATGTCTTCATCCCACTCGTGCCCTTTTCCAACATCCAAAACTAGAACTTATCCTTGACTTCAAAGGTCAGCTACTCCCTGTCTCCCCCCAAAATTCAGGCACACCTCTATATCACACTGCAACCCTTCTCTCCTACAGCAAACTAGAAGGCGCCCCCTGGACCACAGTTTTATGTACTTACTTATTTAGTGCATACCCCTTCCTGCACTATCTACAACAGTGTCTGCCACATAGGGGTCCCAAAAGCTTGTTGAGTGAAGGTATTTTCTTCCTCTTTACAGCAAGAATTCTTTGATTTCCAAAATCTCAAGAATTTTTAAAAGGTATTTCCTAAAATGGTGGTAGACTCCAATACATTATATTAAATTCCTGTATTAAAATAGGTATGTAAGAAAATACTCTTGTAAATTTCTGAAGACTTTATGAGTCTTTGCTTATTTGAAATTTAGTTCCTTAAGGCACAAGAATTCCCATACTGGGTCAGAACTGTGGTCTAGTCGATCTAGAATTTTCTCTATGACAGTGGTACCAAGAAATATATTGTAAGAAGACACAGCGATTCTCCCAGATGCCAAGTTAAACATTTAGAGGTGTGTCTCAAAAACACCTTTTCTTCTATAATCTAATATGAACCCACCATACTTGAAATACTGTTTCAGAATAATGGTTCAATACTATACCAGAGCTCTTTCCCATGCTGTTCAATATATAAACAATATTTTACATATAATTACAGGCAGTACAGCTGGGCATGGTGGTGCACACCTGTAATCCCAGCACTCAGGAGTCTGAGGCAGGAAGATCACAGTGAGTTCAAGGCCTGCCTGAACTGCATAGCGAGACCCTGTCTCAAATTAAAAAAAAAAAATTATAAGCAGTACTGTCCACCCAAGAACATAAGTGCACATTTCAGGCTCTGTCTAGTGGTTTGTTCCCTGTACCTATATGCATACAAGAATGTAAGTAGTTTGGTTATGCATTTTTCTAAATTGAACTCCTTATAATTTTCTAAAGGGTTCTTAAGTTTAATAGAGATTCCTAACAGTCTAATCACATCCTTCATGACTTTATGAAGTTCTATTCCTTTTAGCCTGTGTTTTTCTAGACTGAAAAAAATCTAATCTTTCTGTTCTGTCCTTAATACAGAAGCAACTCAGTTGGCATCATTTCACTTTGCTTAATATGGAGTTATATCTTACAGACTTCATACTAAAACAGTGCAGGTAGGTCTATGAGATTTACTTTAATTGTACAGACACAGCCAAGAAAATTTCACCCGACTTGGGTTAGGAAAGTAGTCTCCAAAAACACCTCTGACAATCACTGTGCCCCAGGACTTACAGGAGATCATAAGGTAGTCCTCGCAGTTGCTTTTGTCATCATCTTGCTGGTCCACAGGGATCCCGTTGGCATCTATGACTGCTTCAGAGGCACAGTCTGCTACCAATACTTCTTCTGAAACTACGTCGGTGGTCAGAGGATCAGTGACGATTTCCGCCTCTACGACACTATCATGAACTATGTGTTCAACATGTCCAACATCAGATACATGTATAGATTCGCTGGTTAAGACGTGTTCTGGCATAGACATGGACGCTGAAGTAATGTCAGAAGCTAAGACATCATCTGGAACTGTGCAATGTGCTAAAGAAACTTCTTCAGTTACATCTGAGTCCAGCACCTGCTCAGGAATGATGACCGTTTCAGATACATCTGCTTCTCCCATGATATCTGGGCACTGAACATCTTCTATAACAACGTCCTCAATAACATCTTGGATGACAACAGAGTCTGGGTCATCAGGAACAAAGTTATGCACAGTTATGTCTGAATCCACAACATCTGACACAAAAACAGTTTCTTGTACTTCCACGACAATTTGATCACCATCCATGTGTGTAGCATCAGCTCCTTAAAAAAAAATTAAAAGGACAAATATCAGGTAGGCATTTATCACTGTCTCAATTAACATTAAGAGTTATTTGATTTCTACCAGGACAGTAAACTCATCAGTTCTCACATATTAAGATACATTAAAGAAAAAAAAGAGAATTTATCTTTGAATCAATTAAAAAGATGCTTTTAACACACTGTGTATTTATTCCAAATCAATTAGCAAATAAAAATGTATATACTAGAAAAACAAAAAAACAGGCAGTTGCAGAAGAAAAATATTTGTGAAAGCAAAATTGCAGGCACGTTAAAATTAAACTCATTCACAGGTATTTCAGGAATGATTATAAAAAGTAAGTAATGTAACTTCAGGTGGCAAATGTACTATTTATTCTTTTCATTACATGTGTTCTTCATTTCTTTTGTTTCTTGCTCCATCTCCCTAGCCTCAAATCACGGTTTTTCTTCCTTCCATCTGTCCCATGTACTTCTTGTACTTCCCTTACGCTTTGTCCCTTCCTTCCATCATTCTCCTTTCACCCTGATACAGCAGACCACCAACATCCTCCATCTATGACTGTGGAAATTTGGAAATCAACCTCACACTCCACGTTGATTTCGAGGACATAAAAGGATGAGGGTATAAATGGAAACAGTGATAGAAGATCACAATTTGGGAGAAAGACAAATAGTTAAGAACACCACGGATAAAACAAACACAAGTGCAACTGTGCTGGGGTGGGTAAGGGTGAGGGTAATTAGAGTGGGCCTACCCCAACTTCACCAGGGCACTCTGCCTCCTCCCTCCTTGTAGATCCCAACTCCCAAGCAAGTTCCTCACAATCCAGGAAACCTCACTCTAGTCCACCAATGGGAATAAAAAGCATATATCCTTGCTAAAAATATAAAATTAAAAAAACAGTACCTTGATTCCTGGCCCAGAGAACAGCAAAGAAAGTTTTATAGAAATATTACTGGAGAAGCTCTTAAGGAGATTAGTGTTTCAGTTGTGACTCAGGTGAGACTGAATCCAAGCAGGTGCCTAACTCAATCAGGCAGACCCTCAGAGAAACCTATGGCTTTGTCAATCAACAAAAATGATCAAGGGCCAACAAATATTAAAAATTATAGGAAATGTCAGTTAATACCTATTTTAATTCTAAAAATAGTGAAAAAATATGCTCATTTTAATTGCTTTCTTTTTTCTACTTTTTCTTTTGGTACCGGGAACTGAACCCAAGACCTTGCACTTGCCAGGCAGGCACTGTGCCACTGAGCTATATCCCGGCCTACTTGCTTTAAATTTCTAAGGAACCTCTACAAAAGGGTATATACTGATTTGTTTCCAATATCCTCAATACTACCATCAAGTGATAGATCACTATAATCTCCATTTGACAAACATGAACATCAGCACATTTAATGGCAAGAGCACAGGTTACAAATTCTACATCAGAGAGAAAGGTTATACACTTAATAGTTTTGTGACCTTGGGCAAGTCATTTAACCTCTGAGTGTCAGTTTCCTCATCAGCAAAATGAGGACAGTAGTATCTGCCGTGCGTACCTCACAGGACTGTGGTGATGATGAAATGAGAATGTAAGGAAAGTGTTCTGAAAAACTGTAATGAGAGGCTTCATTATTATTATGACATATGAAAACGGAGGCCCTGGCAGATTAAGTGACTTGCTCAAAGATAAACAAATACCGTAAGTATCAACAAGCAGGACTGAAATGCAATAGCTTTTCAATCTACCCTTAGCCCATGTCCCAGGTTTGCCTGCAACAAGATTACGCAAATAAACACTATACATTTTTCTCCAAATAGTTTGATGTCTCTTTCAAGCAAATTATACTTCATATTCCAATGAAGAAAGAATTAGCAGTGTTACATTTGCCATTATCAAACTGAAATAACCAAACTTTAAAAAGCTATTCCAAATTGTTAAGAAAAACATACACCCTCCCCCACTATACAGTTTAAAAATTAAAAATCACTAATATTTATGTTTTTGATATGCTGCAATCTATTTAAAGCTCAACAGAAAACTCATTAACATTTTATTTGCAAGAATAGCTAGGTTAAAGGTTAGGGATTTAGCTCAGCGGCATAGTGCCTGCCTGACAAGCACAAGGTCGTGAGTTCGATTCCTGGTACCGGAAAAAAACAAACAAACAAAAACTATATATATACATATAAAATAAGAATAGCTAGGTTAGTATGATATAAAACCATTTTACATTATAAAAGCAAGTATAATCACTTTATAATGTTACATAATAAGAACCATGAGTAATTCAGAATTGTGAATGCCCTTTTTTCTATTTTTAGAATTTCATGAATATGATTTTCCTGTATGCTCTGGAGAGTGAGGTAAAACCATCCTCCTGACGCAAAAGGTTCATTTTTGGAACCTGTGAGAAAGAATGCTGTAAACATAGGACAAGGTCAGAATGTGGATGACCTTGGGTTCATACGTCATCTGCTGGGTAATACTGAACAAAGAAGTGACATGATGCACATGTTACGGTAAGTGCTCTTACCAGTGGGCTAGATAAAAGAGACATAGGGATAAGGAAAATAATGCAAAAGTTCCAGCAGAGAAAAGAAGATAAAAAGAGTCTACATGACAGAAATACAAAGAAGAGGAATAGATACAAACAAGGAACATTTTTAAAGAGATAACCAACAGGACTGCACAAGATGAGAATAACTGAAAACACTAAAGTTTTAATATTGCTACTTTTACCAACTGAGTAACCCTTACCCAAGAGATGGGACGAGAAGTATTTTAGATTTCAGATCTTTTAAGATTTTAGAATAGCTGAATATATGTAATGAACAATCTCAGCAATGGGTTCCAAGTCTAAATATAAAATTCATTGTTTCATATATACCTTATAGAGATAGCCTGAAGGTAATTTTATACAATATTTTTAGTGTGCCTGGGTTTGACTGCAGCCCATTACATGAAATCAGGTGTGGAATTTTCTACTTGACAGTCATGATGGCACTCAAAAAGATTTTTGGATTTTTGGGTCAGAGATGTTCAATCCATGTTGTCAAGAATGTGAGAACTGTTGTGAAGTTTTATTTTGTGTATTTCAGACAGTCTCACTACACAGTTCAGGCTGGCCTTTTACTCACTATGTAGCCCAGACTGGCCTCAAACTTGCTGTGATCCTCCTACCTCATGCTCCTGAGTGCTGGGATTACAGGCATGCACCACCACGCCTGGCAGGAGTCATATTTTTGAGGTGGAGAATAATGTGCTCACTTTAACATTTGTAGACTCTGACAGGATATCTAAGTATGTGTGCTTCCTTTTTTTTTTTTTTGGTACTAGGAATTGAACTCAGGACCTTACGTTTGTCAGGAGGCTCTTGTGCGGCTGAGCTACATCCCAGGCACAGGATATCTAAATATGAATATCAAGAGTCTAGCAATTTGTAAGTTTTTAGGCTAACCAAGTCTAAACTGGTAGATTAAGCTGGGCGTGGTGACACATACCTGTAATCCCAGCACTTGGAAGGCTGAGGCAGCAAGATTATTTGAGTTTGAGGCCAGCCTGGGCTACAAAATGAGTTTAAGGCCTGAACTGCACAAGACCCTATCTCAAAAAAGACCAAAATAAAATAAAATAAAATAAAATAAAATAAAATAAAAATAAAGTGGCAGATTAAAAGTGGAACAATCAGGCCGGGTGTGGTGGCACAGGCCTGTAATCCCAACGCTCAGGAGGCTGAGGCAGGAGGATCATTGTGAGTTCGAGACCAGTCTGGGCTATAAAGTAAGCTCAAGGCCAGCCTGAACTACATAGCGAGACCCTGTCTCAAAGGTTAAAAAAAAAAAAAGTGGGGGGCTGGGGATTTAGCTTAGCGGCAAAGCGCCTGCCTGGCAAGCGCAAGGTCGTGAGTTCAGTTCCCGGTACCGGAGAAAAACCAAAAAACAAACAAACAAAAAAAAAAGTGGAACAATCCAAGTAGTTATACCTGTTGCATCGAAAAATGAGTTTGGCTCTTGTGGTTGTAATTGAAGTCCATCTTCATCCATGGCCTTTAATTCTCATCAGTCACAGCTCCTAAATCAAGGAAAAAAGTAAACCAAGCATTAATGTTTCCAATCATGTATTAAACATGTCACCATGATATAGTTTCATTTCTGAGACACTCAAATTATGTGGCAGATGAACTTCTATCAAAAACAGCAGAGGCTGGAAAATGATGGCAAGTTGAAGGCCAGCCTGGGCTACACAGAGAAACACTGTCTCAAAAAAACAAAAAACCACGTGAATGCCCCGAGAATAAAAGAGGACAAAGGAGGGAGGGAAGGCCTACCAACAGCTTTTCTGGCTCCTGATTCTATACCTCTCTGAGGCCCACCTATATCCCTGTTTTGGGTTTCTGCACAACATCCCAATGACCTTAATTCTTTTCTATTTAAACTAAAAACTTACAATAAGAACCAGAATAAATAATAAAACTTAAAGAACCTTAGCCAACATGGTAGTACATGCCTGTAATCAATCTGGAAGACTGGTAGCTATCTGGGAGACGGAGACAGGAGGACAACAAGTTCAAACCCAGCCTAGGCAACTTAGTGAGACTCAGTCTCAAAATAAAAAAATTTTAAAAAGGGGTTGGGGGTGTTGCTTTTAGTATGAAGGTCCTGGGTTCAATCTCCAGTACCACCAAAAATAAAGAACCCTAAGAACTTTAACTAATAAAAGTAATGTATTACTTAATACTATTTTTTTTTCAGGTACGGAGAATCGATCTCACGACCTCGCGCTTGCCAGGTAGGTGCTGTGATGCTGAGCTAAATTCCCAGCCCCTAATTAATACTATTTAATTATTATTTCAAGAGCAGACATCAGGGATTACATTTGCTCATGCTTCTAGTGCTGCATAACCTGTCATCGGGTTCCCTCTGCTTTTTCACTTTCTAATCCAACCCAACCAAAAGTATTAGATGCATCTTTCATCTTTAACATTTTTTGCTAATCTAAGGATTGCATGCTTATTGAGATTTCAAATAACAGAAATACCTGTTATTGTTCTAAAGTATTAGCTAAGTGACATCATCTCCCTGCTCAAAAATGTTCATGGCTCCCTGCCACCTCCAAATAAAGTTCATTTTGGCTCCAAACTACCTTTTGATCACTGTATTGCCTACAATTCTTGCAAGCACCTACCGACACCACCACACATCGCTTACTCACACACTTCAGCCAAATAAAACTGCTCCATGTCCCTGTAAGAAATTCAACATTTGTATAATAAATGGAATTTCAACATGTTAGCTGTGAGAGTTCTCTTCATTCTCAAGAAGTAGCATGTTTCATATTATTTATGCAAGCTGCTTCAAATTAAAGCAAATAATATAGCCGGGCATGGTGGCGCACGCCTGTAATCCCAGCACGTGGGAGGCTGAAGGAGGATCACAAGGAGACCAGCCTGGGCTACAAAGTGAGCTCAAGGC